GTAACGTCTCTTAAGCGAAGAAAACCAATGCAATAACGGTTGTCGGAGATTTGTGCGGTTTATAACAAGCTTATTTGTCACATAGCAACCACCAAGTATTGACATCATCATAAAATATGTTCAACAAAAGAAACAAAAAGAGGACTGTTTCACAATCCCTGTCCTGCAGTGCGTCGTCATGACGACATATCAATGGTATTGTATAAGGCTATTGATATTCTAATGATGCAGAGCTTATCAGGGGCACCCAACCGGAATTTTTGGAAAATATTTGTTCCGAAGACGATTTGAGATCTAGAATTTTGGGGACATTTGTAGTAAAATTTCTTATTTCTTGCTTGCCTGCCTCCTAGGATTTTCGAACATCTAAAACACTGTGTAATTGCCCATTTTTAACGGATTTTTTCCCTAAAATGGTCACTTAGAATTTTCGGGGGCCTTTTTTCTAGCTTAAATTTTCGAAAAGGTAAGTTTTGATCCCTATAATTTTCGGATCGCTAGACTTTCAGCTAGGAAATCCGAACAGATTAAAAAATTTTAGGGGATAAAAATATGCCTATATCTTCCGTTTAAATGCTAAAATACATTCAACAATGCTATGTTTAAGTGGTTTTGAATTATATTGTCGTTGGGTGCCCCTGGATAATGTTTTGTTTATAGCAGTGCTCGTTTATTTCTAAAATTATGCCAATAAATTATGCTAGTTTTGTAAATTATACCTATGTTATCAAGAAATGCAGAGATTTTGCCTCTACTTTTTACTTAGAATTTGTTGAAAACACCACAATAACTAGGAAAAAAAACAAGTAAATGACGAACACATTCTACATTCTAGAAACTTTAAAGGTGCATAATTCATTGTCTGACATGCAACTATAAATACTCAAACAATTAACAAACCTGCAAGCAGAGAGGACTCCATTTCAGGGTAGCCGAGTGGGTTATTTGCGGTGGCCCACAAGTACACTCCGAAATCAAAGTTACACTCCTTATCTTTAAACACACTCCGAATTCTAAAAGCTCACTCCGAATTCTAATAACTCACTCCGAAATCCAAAACTATACTCCAATTTCCAAGTCATCACTCCGAATTCGAAAACTCCACTCCGAATTCAAAAACATCACTCCGAATTCGAAAACGTCACTTCCAATTTGAAAACATCACTCTGAATTCGCAAACATCACTCCGAATTTGAAAACACCACTCCTAATTCCAAAACTCCACTCCGAATTCGAAAACATCACTCTAAATTGGAAAACATGGCTACAAATTCGAAAATTTCACTCCCAATTCTCAAACTCTACTCCCAGTTCGAAAACGTCACTCACAATTCCAAATCGAAAACCCAGAGTCCTCGGGCCCTTTTTGCAGCGGGTGGAGCCCGAGGGAGGGACTAGGGGAAGTTTTTGTTGAAATGCAACACGGGATATTTAGTAAATTTTCAAGATGGCGGTGGCAAACCCACCCTGCGAGCAGTGGTTTCTCCAGGCCGGACGCTACGCTTCGATGGGAAAGAAACCACTGCGAGCAACCGTTTGCTTTTCCATCGAGCATACGCGTCCACGTGATGACTACGAATATCCAACGACAAGACGGTAACGAAAACTTCAACAAGACAATAGGTTTAATAAGCAAAACAACAACTTTCCACCTCTGTACCAGGATTTGAGTACGCGCCATGATTGGCCTGAAAAAAAGCCATTGTCAATTTGCCAATCAGGTTAAAGGAAAATTTGAAACGCATTTCCGGTAATTCATTGACTCCGTTGGGGGCCCAGAGCAAGGAAATTGGCGCTGCTTCGCAGATGTTGGTAACCGGGGATACCTTATTATAGGAAATTAACGCTCCATTAAATTAACGCAAATCGTTAAAATTCGCGTTAATTTAAGTCGCGTTAATTTTGTTGAGCGTTAATTTCCGCGACGTTAATTAAGTGCAGCGTTAATTTCCTCGCTCTTAATTACCAGTATTTTAACCCCAATTTTGGAACCTGTCCAGACATTCTTGACACCTAAAAAACATTTAAACTACAAGCTCTCTTTCTTTCCATTTACCCTTTATTTTGCACCTTTCACAAAAGCTAAGGCGAAGGTTTACAATATTTCGAGTTCATCTTCATCGTTGTTGCTGTCAGAAGTGATGTCAGCTCAGTTTTGTTCAGTTTTGAATTTTTTTGCATCCAGTGTTGAAATAAATTTGTTCCAGTTTTCACCACCAACTGTATCTTAATCGCGTTAATTTCCTTTATTATGAAATTCTATCTCCTCTTTCGCGTTAATTTTCTTTATTCGAAAGTCGTTTTCCATTAAAATCGCGTTAAATTAAGTCGCGTTAATTTCCAATACCTTAATTTCATGGAGGGTTAATTTCCTATAATAAGGTATATTACGTCTGCGACGCAGGCTACCCCAGGCTGATTTTCCTTTAAAAATTGAGAGGGTTTTGATAATCGCGCTGAAGTATTAATTACCGACGTAGCAGTTGTGGATCTTAAACTCTCTACTTTGAGCTACTTGCCAAATACACCACAGTTACTTACAAGAAAAAGATTATTACCAAAAGACAGACGGAGTTCTGGGCACGAGATTACAAAAAAGACCTTATACAGTTCCTCAATAAAGTACAAAGAATGTTAGCTGGTCTTGTTTTCTGTTAGTTCACGAAGTTTTCCTACGATTAATGCGAATATGGAGCTAAATTAATCCTGAATTCTTGAAAAGAATTTGTATGTGCAGTCAAATGGTGACGATTGAAATTAGGGAATAATTTTACAAAAGCCTTTAAATACTTTTCTTTTGACTTTATGACCCTAGGAGGTAGATTAAAATTTGGATATACAACTGGCCATACATTTCTGACAATTTTTTTCGCAATTACTTCACGTGCGGAGGATCATTAAAAAATATAATAAAAGTCAATAAACACAAATTTGAATTAAATAAACCCGCTGCTTTATTGAGTTGAAAAGCATACATTCAGTTTTGCTGTCCATATATCAGATGAGAATTATGCATCTAGTATTCTTCTCCTTCCTCTTCACCCTCATCTCCAGCAGAATCCACACCCACTTCCTCGTAATCCTTCTCCAGAGCAGCCAAATCTTCACGAGCCTCAGAGAACTCTCCTTCCTCCATACCCTCACCCACATACCAATGGACAAAAGCACGCTTGGCATACATCAGATCAAACTTGTGATCCAGACGGGCCCAGGCCTCAGCAATAGCTGTGGTGTTACTCAACATACAAACAGCACGCTGAACCTTGGCCAAGTCACCACCAGGAACAACTGTGGGAGGCTGGTAGTTGATGCCCACCTGAAAAATAAATTGATTGAAAAAATTGATTACAACATGCCTTTTTCTAGCTTA